TTACTGATAAATATAAAATCAAAACATTTAATATAAATTGTAATAAGAAGCTATAAAGTAGGTAATATAATATAATATAGGTTATAGGTATTAATAGTAACTTAGCACAAAATATTATTAAATTAATAATTGTTACAATTAACTATAATAATATGAAATACATTATAGATAATTAGATATCTACTATATGAACCTATTAAATAATAGTGTAACTAATAATGTACCTAATATTGCTATCGTATTTTGGTGATTTTTTTTTTTAACATTAAAAAAATTATTTTTACCAACTGTCAATATTATTCATTTACTTCCCTGTAGAAATAGATTAAACGAAATTTAAGCGAATCTAAAACTAAGAGTTCAAAAAAATTAAAATTAAGTTGATTCAGTGTTTTACTTGGAATGTAGTATGGCATCAGCAGATACCCTGTAAAATATCAGTGTAAGATATCACTCATCTAATAAGTAAGTACCTACATTTAAATACTCATAAAATTATATTAAGTATGAACGAATTGTTTGAAAATAAAATTTGTACACATAAAAATACACCAAAAAGTATTCTAATTCCGAATTCGTAATATGGGGATAAAAAAGGATKTTATCATTCAAATAATGAATATTTAAAAAAAAATATTACCACTAAAAAAAATTWAAAAAAAAATCGTTTTTATTATTTTAAATTGCTACAATACCAACTTATGATAAATGTTGAATAACATTTTCAAGATTTTCGACCCATTGAATAATTTTTCATCATCATTTATAGAACAAAAACTAAAAAAAAGCGGGTAAGTGGATGTCGCTTTGCTGTACATTAGGTGGTGGGTTGGACCTCTGACTTGGGTAGGTTAGATTTGAATGCAATGATAGGTATCATTGTATACGAAAAACGATTTTCTGAACGGAGGTGATTTGTCAGTCTAGGATATATTATATTTAATTATTGTCATATATTCTATTTTGAAACAAATATATTATTTTTCAATTAGGACGYATTTTGAATAAGGCATGGTTAATCAATTTTTCCAAAAACATTGCATGTAGTTATCATAATTCATAATACCTTATATTATCATAGATATACATATACCTG